TAGTCGTTCCGGTTTTCTCCCGCGTAGAATTAGAGATGTCTTGGCGACGTTTCAACGAAGTCTCATTCGTCATCTTCAGGCTGCTTCAGACTACTTCAGGTTTGGTGTTTCCAGGAGTAGTCTACCCTGGAAGTTTCCACTACTCCTGGAAGTTTCCACTACTCCTGGAAGTTTCCACTACTCCTGGAAACACCAAACCTGAAGTAGTCTGAAGCAGCCTGAAGATGACGAATGAGACTTCGTCGAAACGTCGCCAAGACATCTCCAATTCTACGCGGGAGAAAACCCGAAATCTCTATCTATATAAAAGCCAAAACTCACCACTCGCCCGTCATGAAATCTCCAGAACTGTAAAGCCTACAAACCTGAAATTTGGCCCGTATGTTCCTCTTGGCTTCTAGGAGCTCGCTAAGAAAGGATTTTTCGAAATGACCATCAACTCATCACTATTTCTTATACAGTATTATATTAACATGCGTTGATGCTAAGGAGTTAGACATTCTACTCCCCCTCCCCACCTGAAAGGAACTCTGTTCCAACTGCCAGTTGCCTTATATGAGCTTGGCCAGCATGTGACTCATCCGGCCTGCGGGCTATGAGTTTAGACATTCTACTCTTCCTCCCCACCTGAAAAGAACTCTGCTCCAACTGCCAGTTGCCTTATATTAATATGCTCTGATGCTAAGGAATTACACGTTCTACATGAATTTTCAAGCTTTAAGTGTCAATTTATCAAGCCCGCTCACATAGTGAAGCATGAGTATCCTGTGTGTGTGTTTGTGTGTGTGTATGCATGCTTCTGCGTGTATCCCCCTTTGAGTTCAAAATGTTGAAAAAAATATATTTTCTCCTAGGAACTGGAAGAGAAACACAGGGAAGCTCAGCTGGCGGCCCAACATCTGGAGCTGCACCTGAAGCAGAAAGAACAAATGTATGAAGAAAGGCTCAAAGTAAGAAGTGGATTTGACCCTCTGGAGACAGCCTGCGTTTCTCCTCCTGCCGCTCTGAGTCGGGAAAGGAAAGCAAATAACCACTTCACAGGGCTTTACAGCCCCTCTCTGAGCGGTTTACAGAGTCAGCCTCTTGCCCTCAACTATCTCTGTCTGTCTGTCTGTCTGTCTGTCTCTGTCTCTGTCTGTCTCTCTCTCTCTCTCTCTGTCTCACTCTCATTAAACAATAAGAGTTCTGCTGCCTGCTCTCAATTTCTCCCTCCCTCCAATCTATGTCTCCCATCTATATCTGTCTGTCTGTCTATCTGTCATCCATCCATCTATCCATCCAGTGTCTACCTATATCTATCTGTCATCTATCCATCCATCCATCCATCATTTCTGTCATCTATCTTATCTATCATCCATCTATTCAAGATGTCTATCATCTATATGTATCTGTCATCTATCTTATCCATCCATCCATCCATCCATCCATCCATCCATCCATCCATCCATCCATTATGTTTATCATCTATATGTAGCTGTCATTATCTATCTGTCTGTCATCCATCCATCTATCCATCCATCCAGTGTCTATATCTATCTGTCTGTCATCTATCTATCCATCCATCCATCCATCATGTCTGTCATCTATTTTATCTATCATCCATTTATCCAAGATGTCTATCATCTATATGCATCTGTCTGTCATCTATCTTATCTATCCATTCATCCATCCATCATGTTTATCATCTATATGTATCTGTCATCTATCTGTCTGTCTGTCTGTCTGTCAGTCATCCATCTATCCATCCATCCAGTGTCTATATCTATCTGTCTGTCATCTATCTATCCATCCATCCATCCATCCATCATGTCTGTCATCTATTTTATCTATCATCCATTTATCCAAGATGTCTATCATCTATAGGCATCTCTCTGTCATCTATCTTATCTATCCATTCATCCATCCATCATGTTTATCATCTATATGTATCTGTCATCTATCTGTCTGTCTGTCTGTCTGTCAGTCATCCATCTATCCATCCATCCAGTGTCTATATCTATCTGTCTGTCATCTATCCATCCATCCATCATGTCTGTCATCTATCTTATCTATCATCCAACCATCCATCTATCCAAGATGTCTATCATCTATATGTATCTGTCTGTCATCTATCTTATCCATCCATCCATCCATCCATCCATCCATCCATCATCTGTATATATCTGTCATCTGTCTGTCTGTCTATCATAGGCATGCATGCACAAACGTACACACACACACACACACATACACACAGTTTCCTCTCTGAGCCCTCCAAAAACTGCCTCCCTCAAAGTAAGCTATTGAAATTGAGCAGCAAACTGTCCAATCATGGGTTTTTTTGCTGCCCAGTTAGCTCTTGCAGTAAATTACAAAGGAAACCTCGCACAAGGGGAGGATTCCTGCTGCGGTCTTTCTCTTGGTGCGACGGCGCGGCTGCTGTGCGCTGCGCAGCCTGTTCTGACCTAGGCTTCACAATCTTAGTCCCCAAAATCCTCTTTTTATTTCAACGGCTGTGAATTGCGATTCCCAAATAGTTTGTAAAGAGTCCGACAGAAGTCTGCCAAAGTCTTTCGGGCTGATAAGCACCCACCTTTATCTCCCGTGAAACGCTGCCAGAGACCTAATCGCCAATTCGTTTTGCAAGGCTAAAGTCAAACAGGACTTTCTCAGAACTTGAACCATATCCACCCAGGCAGAAAACCAATTCCTGGCCCCCAGTTGAGAGCCAGAATCTTGATTTATTATGCCAGGGAACACGGTACCGTTATGGAACCTTCTAAAATTAAGAGAAGACGATTCTAGGGGCGTCATTCAGTGGTGGGTTCCTCTCCCCGTCGCTACCGGTGCGCTGCTCACGGGGCTGCGCGTCCTGTTCGTGCATGCGCGCTGAGGGGACTCCACCGCCCCTGCGACACCCAGCTGCTTGTCGGAGCTGGCGCAGGTGCTGCATGCTGCGCGCGCATGCACAATTGGCTGGTTCCTTTAAAAACAGGTATAAGTAAGTATAATCTTTATTGTCATTGTACTTAAAATACAACCAAATTGGTATAGAATGCGGGAAGGCGGGTTGGTGGGCAGAACGAGCCACCGTACCGGTACGCTCCCGGCTACTACCGATACGGCTGTGCCAGGCCATACCGGCCGGAACCCACCACTGGTGTCCTTCTTCCCCCCTTCGTGCGACCCTTTTTCAAGAAATCCCTGGGTACGTCCAGAAAGAGCTTTAAGTGTTAAGGAGAAGGATGAGGCTAAAATTGCCATGGAACTGTTGAGCGGCTGTTCAGAGGTCAGGTTGACCCAGGCAGGAAAAAATACGAAGAAAGAATCTAATGAAACTCGTGCCAAGTCATGTTCACAGCACCAGGCAACTGAGCAATTAGACTCTTGAGTGGCCCTGACTTTTGAGCTGGACATGCCAGCCTTCAAATATTTTTTCTTTTTTGTTCCTGTTATGAAACATCTAGAAGGCATGTAGGAGGGTGTGGGGGTTTGGTGGCCAATCTTCATTAGCATCCCGACACGGACATCCCTCTAAACTCTGCTGAAGACGTTACCTAGCCTGGTAAGGAAGCGTTTGGGAAACCGACCCACAAGTTCAGAGAATGAAACCTTGGTCCAATATCTACCTGTCCGTCTATCTGTCATCCATCCATCCAATATCTCTGTCATCTATATCTCTCATCCATCTATCTCTCATCCATCCATCCATCCATCCATCCATCCATCCAATATCTATCTTTATATATTTGTCTGTCATCTATCTATCTAGCTTATCTACCTACCCACCTACCAACCATTCATACATCCATCCATCCATCATGTCTGTCATCTATCTTATCTATCATCCATCCATCCATCCATCCATTCAATATGTCAATCATCTATATGTTTCTGTCTGTCTGTCTGTCATCTATCTATTTATCTATCTATCTATCTATCTATCTATCTATCTATCTATCTATCTACCTACTTACCATCCATCCATCCATCCATCCATCCATCCATCCAAGATATCTATCATCTATATGTATCTACCTACCTACCATCCATCCATCCATCCACCCATCCATCCATCCTGTCATCTATCTTATCTATCATCCATCCATCCAAGATGTCTGTCATCTATATGTATCTATCTGTCTGTCTATCTATCTATCATCTATCTATCTACCATCCATCCATCCATCCATCCATCCTGTCATCTATCTTATCTATCATCCATGCATCCAAGATGTCTATCATCTATATGTATCTGTCTGTCATCTGTCTGTCTGCATGCGCGCACGCACATGCACACACACATTTTATGAGGCCTCTTTTGAATGCAGCATCTGGAATGCCACTGAAAGACCAATCAGAAAGATTTTGCCAATTCCCGAAAAAGGTTTGGCCTTCCGGTGTTTCTCTGACATATTTCCCAGGCATCCGAAACGGCTTGAGGCAAACCCAGATCTGCCTTAAGCCCTTTTAGACGTTTTAGACTTAAACTTGGCCTTCACCAAGTTTCGGCTGAACGTCGACAGGCCTCGAAGTAAGGCCCCCTTGTTTCCTTCTCCCCACAATTCTCCCCCCCCCAGGTGCTGGACAACCAAATGAAGAAGGACCTGGCAGACAAAGATACTTTGGAGAACATGCTGAGGAAGCACGAGGAGGAAACTCACGAAAAGTGCAAAATCCTCGCCGAGCAGAAAGCGGTAAGCGGAGTGGGGGCTGCTCTTTAGATGCATTTCAATTAGCTTGACTCACCTGCCTCGTAGGTGATTCTTAGTCACATCCGAAATGTGTAAAATGCCACTTGCCCCAAATGAGCAAGATTGCCTTTCGCGTGAGCTTTAACACGCAGTAATTGTCGTATCAACATTGCCGGTGTCAAGGTATCTTTCCATGCACGGAGGTGCGGTTGAGAATTTGCCCGGGGGGGGGGCTTCCTGTTAGGAACCCGTGGGGAGCTTCCCCAACACGCCTGCCGAGCCCTTAGAGTGTTTGGAGCGGAGTTGGAAGACGGGAGCGCAATTCGGATAGAGCGCGGGGTGATTTCCATGAATTTCAGACAGAGGGGATTTGTTCTGACCGAGGATTCCCCAAACCACGAAGCAAACTGCGAGGTGGGGCAGTGGTTAGGGTGCAGTACTGCAGGCCACTTCAGCTGACTGTTATCTGCAGTTCAGCGGTTCTAATCTCACCGGCTCAAGGTTGNCTCTGTCTCTCTGTCTCTCTGTCTCTCTCCCGCGCTCTCTCTCCCTCTCTCCCTCCCTCTCCCCCTCTCTCTCTCCCTCCCTCCCCCTCTCTCTTCCAAGCAAAGCAAAACCTGGCTATATTTCATTTGGCATGATTGCTACTGTTGGCATTTTCACCGGTTTCCCTAAAATTGCAATGCATTACGATGGCCAGCTCTGGCTGTGCCATTTTTTAAGCACCTCTTACAGAGAGGCTGAAAAGGAGGTGTTGACAAGAACAAATGTTGGGGCTTATTCAAAGCAAATTTTGGTTCTTCAAAAAATGGGACAACCACCACCGTTTAACAATTTAGGATATTCCGGTAAAGAGGTTTAATGAAAGAAAACAAGACAAGCAAAGTCATTCGTAGCAAACGGTCAGATCCTGGTCTGTTGGAAGCCATGTTCTGATATTTTTGGAACGTTTTCTTCCTCTGGTAAGAAATGTCGTTACCGGTGTAAACATTTCACATGGAGCCTTAATTATATTGACTGGTGAATTCCACCAGTCATGGAAAATATGCAAATCTGATGGAAATGTGACTATGTCTCCCTGGGAGCCTGAAGCTGGTGGGAGATGATTCTGAATACAAATCAAATGGTGACTATGGAGGATCTCCAAGTGAGGAAATCATCTGGGTCAAAGGATGTCTTGGCCAACAGAAGCCTTTGGTTCTGCGATGAAACGTTCAGAATCTTCACGAAGGAAATGTGGACTTCCTTGCTCCCATGTAGGGGTATCATAGAGCATTGAATAATGAAGTTGGAAGGGACCTTGGAGGTCATCTAGTCCACACACACCCCACAGCCAAGCAGACCCTACACCATTTTTGGCAAATGGCAGTCCAATCTCTTCTAATTATTTGGGTTGTCCCTCAGATTGTCGCCATTCCGTATGTGGAGCAAGCCAGAATAATGTGGGCTCCAGAAAGGATGAAAGTTGTAGAGGCACATTATGAAAATACGTTCGATATCTCAGTTGGAATTGGATTTTTGCTTTATTTTTAGATGACCCTGCTGGTTGGTGCTGATCATTGGCCTCTTTGCAAAGAGATATTGATAGAAGAATATATCTTTGCACATCGTTCAAGCAAATAATTACAATAAGTGGCATTGATTGTGTGCGGAGATGATCTCCAGGTCCATAAGGAGTTCATTTGTACATAGATTATAACATGAGGAAATGAAACTAAGGGGTGGAAAGTATTTGTAGCTTGGATGATCAACGTTGGTGGTGGTTTTGTTCTCCGAGGTGGCGCAGTGGTTAGAGTGTAGTATTGCAGGCTACTTCAGCTGACTGCAGTTCTGCAGTTCGGCTGTTCAAATCTCACCGGCTCAGGGTTGACTCAGCCTTCCATCCTTCC